ATTCTGGCTCTTCCCTTTATTCTGGTATTTACTCTGATCTTCTTTGTATTCCATTTCCTAATTCTGGCTCTTACCTTTATTCTGGTATTTACTCTGATCTTCTTTGTATTCCATTTCCTCCCCGTATTCTGGCTCTTACGTTTATTCTGGTATTTACTCTGATCTTCTTTGTATTCCATTTCTTCCCCGTATTCTGGCTCTTCCCTTTATTCTGGTATTTACTCTGTTCTTCTTTGTATTCCATTTCCTGCCCGAATTCTGGCTCTTACCTTTATTCTGGTATTTACTCTGATCTTCTTTGTATTCCATTTCCTGCCGTATTCTGGCTCTTACCTTTATTCTGGTATTTACTCTGATCTTCTTTGTATTCCATTTCTTCCCCGTATTCTGGCTCTTCCTTTATTCTGGTATTTACTCTGATCTTCTTTGTATTCCATTTCCTGCCCTTAATTCTGGCTCTTACCTTTATTCTGGTATTTACTCTGATCTTCTTTTGTATTCCATTTCCTGCCCGCCCGAATTCTGGCTCTTCCCTTTATTCTGGTATTTACTCTGATCTTCTTTGTATTCCATTTCCTCCCCGGTATTCTGACTCTTACTTTTTATTCTGATTTACTCTGATCTTCTTTGTATTCCATTTCCTGCCCTTCCTTTATTCTGTATTTATTCTGGCTCTTCCCTTTATTCTGGTATTTACTCTGATCTTCTTTTTATTCCATTTCCTGCCCGAATTCTGGCTCTTCCCTTTATTCTGGTATTTACTCTGATCTTCTTTGTATTCCATTTCCTGCCCGAATTCTGGCTCTTACCTTTATTCTGGTATTTACTCTGATCTTCTTTTGTATTCCATTTCCTCCCCGTATTCTGGCTCTTACGTTTATTCTGGTATTTACTCTGATCTTCTTTGTATTCCATTTCTTCCCCGTATTCTGGCTCTTCCTTTTATTCTGGTATTTACTCTGATCTTCTTTTGTATTCCATTTCCTGCCCGAATTCTGGCTCTTACCTTTATTCTGGTATTTACTCTGATCTTCTTTGTATTCCATTTCCTGCCCGAATTCTGGCTCTTCCCTTTATTCTGGTATTTACTCTGATCTTCTTTGTATTCCATTTCCTGCCCGAATTCTGGCTCTTACCTTTTTCTGGTATTTACTCTGATCTTCTTTGTATTCCATTTCCTGCCTTTGAATTCTGGCTCTTCCCTTTATTCTGGTATTTACTCTGATCTTCTTTTTGTATTCCATTTCCTGCCCGAATTCTGGCTCTTACCTTTATTCTGGTATTTACTCTGATCTTCTTTGTATTCCATTTCATCCCCGTATTCTGGCTCTTCCCTTTATTCTGGTATTTACTCTGATCTTCTTTGTATTACATTTCCTCCCCGTATTCTGGCTCTTACCTTTATTCTGGTATTTACTCTGATCTTCTTTGTATTCCATTTCCTCCCCGTATTCTGGCTCTTACCTTTATTCTGGTATTTACTCTGATCTTCAATGTATTCCATTTCCTGCCCGAATTCTGGCTCTTCCCTTTATTCTGGTATTTACTCTGATCTTCTTTGTATTCCATTTCTTCCCCGTTTTCTGGCTCTTCCCTTTATTCTGGTATTTACTCTGATCTTCTTTGTATTCCATTTCCTGCCCGAATTCTGGCTCTTCCCTTTATTCTGGTATTTACTCTGATCTTCTTTGTATTCCATTTCCTGCCCGAATTCTGGCTCTTACCTTTATTCTGGTATTTACTCTGATCTTCTTTGTATTCCATTTCCTCCCCGTATTCTGGCTCTTACGTTTATTCTGGTATTTACTCTGATCTTCTTTGTATTCCATTTCTTCCCGTATTCTGGCTCTTCCCTTTATTCTGGTATTTACTCTGATCTTCTTTGTATTCCATTTCCTGCCCGAATTCTGGCTCTTACCTTTATTCTGGTATTTACTCTGATCTTCTTTGTATTCCATTTCCTGCCCTTTTTTCTGGCTCTTACCTTTATTCTGGTATTTACTCTGATCTTCTTTGTATTCCATTTCCTGCCCGAATTCTGGCTCTTCCCTTTATTCTGGTATTTACTCTGATCTTCTTTGTATTCCATTTCCTGCCCGAATTCTGGCTCTTACCTTTATTCTGGTATTTACTCTGATCTTCTTTGTATTCCATTTCCTGCCCGAATTCTGGCTCTTACCTTTATTCTGGTATTTACTCTGATCTTCTTTGTATTCCATTTCATCCCCGTATTCTGGCTCTTCCCTTTATTCTGGTATTTACTCTGATCTTCTTTGTATTACATTTCCTCCCCGTATTCTGGCTCTTACCTTTATTCTGGTATTTACTCTGATCTTCTTTGTATTCCATTTCCTCCCCGTATTCTGGCTCTTACCTTTATTCTGGTATTTACTCTGATCTTCTTTGTATTCCATTTCCTCCCCGTTTTCTGGCTCTTACCTTTATACTGGTATTTACTCTGATCTTCTTTGTATTCCATTTCCTCCCCGTATTCTGTCTCTTCCCTTTATTCTGGTATTTACTCTGATCATCTTTGTATTCCATTTCCTCCCCGTATTCTGGCTCTTCCCTTTATTCTGGTATTTACTCTGATCATCTTTGTATTCCATTTCCTCCCCGTATTCTGGCTCTTACCTTTATTCTGGTATTTACTCTGATCTTCTTTGTATTCCATTTCCTCCTCGTATTCTGGCTCTTACCTTTATTCTGGTATTCACTCTGATCTTCTTTGTATTACATTTCCTCCCCGTATTCTGGCTCTTCCCTTTATTCTGGTATTTACTCTGATCTTCTTTGTATTACATTTCCTCCCCGTATTCTGGCTCTTCCTTTATTCTGGTATTTACTCTGATCATCTTTGTATTCCATTTCCTCCCTTACCTTTATATTCTGGCTCTTACCTTTATTCTGGCATTTACTCTGATCTTCTTTGTATTCCATTTCCTCCCCGTATTCTGGCTCTTACCTTTATTCTGGTATTTACTCTGATCTTCTTTGTATTCCATTTCCTCCCCATATTCTAGATCTCCCCTTTATTCTGGTATTTACTCTGATCTTCTTTGTATTCCATTTCCTCCCCGTATTCTGGCTCTTACCTTTATACTGGTATTTACTCTGATCTTCTTTGTATTCCATTTCCTCCCTGTATTCTGGCTCTTCCCTTTATTCTGGTATTTACTCTGATCATCTTTGTATTCCATTTCCTCCACGTATTCTGGCTCTTCCCTTTATTCTGGTATTTACTCTGATCTACTTTGTATTCCATTTCCTCCCCGTATTCTGGCTCTTACCTTTATTCTGGTATTTACTCTGATCTTCTTTGTATTCCATTTCCTCCCCTTCCCTTTATTCTTCTAGTATTCTGGCTCTTCCCTTTATTCTGGTATTTACTCTGATCATCTTTGTATTCCATTTCCTCCCCGTATTCTGGCTCTTACCTTTATTCTGGTATTTACTCTGATCTTCTTCGTATTCCATTTCCTCCCCGTATTCTGGCTCTTCCCTTTATTCTGGTATTTACTCTGATCTTCTTTGTATTCCATTTCCTCCCCGTATTCTGACTCTTACTTTTATTCTGGTATTTACTCTGATCTTCTTTGTATTCCATTTCCTGCCCGAATTCTGGCTCTTCCCTTTATTCTGGTATTTACTCTGATCTTCTTTGTATTCCATTTCTTCCCCGTTTTCTGGCTCTTCCCTTTATTCTGGTATTTACTCTGATCTTCTTTGTATTCCATTTCCTGCCCGAATTCTGGCTCTTCCCTTTATTCTGGTATTTACTCTGATCTTCTTTGTATTCCATTTCCTGCCCGAATTCTGGCTCTTACCTTTATTCTGGTATTTACTCTGATCTTCTTTGTATTCCATTTCCTCCCCGTATTCTGGCTCTTACGTTTATTCTGGTATTTACTCTGATCTTCTTTGTATTCCATTTCTTCCCCGTATTCTGGCTCTTCCCTTTATTCTGGTATTTACTCTGATCTTCTTTGTATTCCATTTCCTGCCCGAATTCTGGCTCTTACCTTTATTCTGGTATTTACTCTGATCTTCTTTGTATTCCATTTCCTGCCCGAATTCTGGCTCTTCCCTGTCTTCTCGTACTTCCCTATATTCTGGTTTTTCTCTGTATTCTGGTACTTTTCTGTTTTCTAGTTATTCCTCGTATTCTAGCACTTCCTCATATTTCGTTTTTTTTTTTTTTTACCTGTATTCTGGTACTTTCCTGTTTTCTGGCACTTCCCAGTGTTCTGGTTCTTCTCTGTATTCTGGCACTTTACCATATTCTATTTTTAAGGTAAGTGTGAACAAAAACGAAGATTGTTATTAAAATCTGGAAGACTGAATTAAAATCCATGCGATACATAATAAGAAAAAAGGGTCTGGAGAATTTTGGAACTCGCAGAACATATCGAAGGTAAAAGAGGCATTGGGCAACAGAGTAACATCTCCAACGTGTTTCTTTAATTTTCTTTTTATAATGATGTTCACCCTGTACAAGTCCCGAGAGCTACTCAAGGTAGAGGGTCACAGATTAAGGAGCAGAGTTTATGTGAATATGTGGTGGAGATAAGGGTTAACTCTAGATTTGGACAGGTTAAGATTGGAGTGATTGAGGAAGCATCCTCCTGGGAGTTGGTTTTGACAGAACAAGGAATGGGAGGTATGGTGAGAGCTATAGAATCGGAAGTTGTTAAGCGCCATGATCGCTCACGTCCTGAAGGGACACGACACAGAAGAATAGCCTCATTGTGCCCGCGCAGATTACACGGGTGTTGACAAATCTATTACTATAATTACACTTGTATTTACATTTCTGTGATTTCTGACAGGTTGGCGTCATATGCATGTTAAACATTAATTTACATAAAATTAATAAATAAAACAAATAAAAATGAAAAAGAAAGGAAGGAAATACATGGAAGAAACAGTAGGAAGATCAGACATAAATCATGTTGCTGAGAGACTTTGACGACAGACACTTCTTAGTTAAGCAACGGATATCAAATGAATTTCTTGCTAGACGTAACAGTCGAGCAAGCAAGCGAGCGAGTGAGCGAGCGAAAAGAGTAAGTAGGGGGAGAGAGAGAGAGAGAAAGCGGAGTAAGAAGAGTGAAAGCGAGCGAGGAGGGCAAGAAGAAGAAGAAAAAGAAGAAGAAGAAGAGAGAGAGAGGGGAGAGGGAGAAACGAAGAACGCGAAATTGTAGAGTGTATAGGGAAGTTAAACCGAAGAGCAAGAAGGAGGGAGAGAGATAGAGAGAAAGTGAAGAGAGCAAGAGAAAGGGGGAGAGAGAGAGAGAGCAAAGAGAGTAAAAGAAGGGTAAGTAAGCGAATAGAGAAAGATAGGGGAAAGAGTATGAAGAGAGTAAGAAGATGAAAGAAAGAGAAAGTGAAGAGAGCAAGTAGAAGAGAGAAAGCCAAGTGAAAGAAGGAGAGAGGTGGAAAGCAAAGTGAGCAAGAAGAGGAGAGTGAAAGCCATGAGAACAAGAAAGGATGAGAGAAAAGTGTAGAAAGCAAGAAGGAGAGATAAAGTAAAGCGAGTAAGAACGTGTGAGAGCGAAAGTCAAGAAATCAAGAAGGTATGAGAAAAAGTGAAGGGCGCAAGGTGTGAGAGTGAATGCAATGAGAGCAAGAAAGAATGAGGGAGAGAGATAGAGTAACGAGAGCAAGAACGTGTGAGAGTGAAAGCCAAGAGAGCAATAAGGGGTGGGAGAGAAAGTGAAAAGAGCAAGAAGGTGTGAGAGTGAATGCAATGAGAGCAAGAAGTGGGAAGAGAGGATGTGAAAAGCGCAAGAAAGGGTCAGAGAGAGAGAGAGAAAGGGAAAAGAGCAAGAAAGAATGAGGGAGAGAGATAGAGTAACGAGAGCAAGAACGTGTGAGAGTGAAAGCCAAGAGAGCAATAAGGGGTGGGAGAGAAAGTGAAAAGAGCAAGAAGGTGTGAGAGTGAATGCAATGAGAGCAAGAAGTGGGAAGAGAGAATGTGAAAAGCGCAAGAAAGGGTGAGAGGGAGAGAGAGAAAGGGAAAAGAGCAAGAAAGAATGAGGGAGAGAGATAGAGTAACGAGAGCAAGAACGTGTGAGAGTGAAAGCCAAGAGAACAAGAAGGGGTGGGATAGAAAGTGAAGAGTATAAGAAGGGGGGAAGAGAGAAAGTGAAGAGAGCAAGAATGAGAGAATAAGTGAGATAGAGGAAAGAGCGCAAGAAGCTGTGAGAGTGAAACCATGAGAGCAAGAAGGAGTGAGAGAAAATGAAGAGCGCAGGAAAGCGTAAAGGTGATAAAATGAAGAGAACACGAAGGGGAGAGGGAGAGAGGTAGAATAAAAAGAGCAATACGGAGTGACAGTGAAAGCCATGCGAGCAGAGAGGGGTGAGAGAGCGCGCAGGAAAGCGTGAGAGAGAGAGAAAGTGAAGAAGGCAAGAAGGGGAAAGGGAGAGAGATAAAGAGAACAAGAAAGTGTGAGAGTGAAACCCGTAAGAGCAAGAACGGTGAGAGAGAAAGGGAGTAAGAAGGGGAGAAGAAGCGAAATAAAGAGAGTAAGAAGGTTTAAGAGAGAAAGCCAAGAGAGCAAGAAAGATAGAGAGAACGAGAAAGTGAAGATAGCAAGAAGGGAAGGAGTGATCTAGAGTAAAGCAAGCAAGAATATGTCAGAGTGAAAGTCAAGAGTGCAAGAAGTGGTGTGATAGAAAGACAACGCGAAGAAATGGGGAGATAGAGAAAACGAAGGAGAGGTGAAAGAGAGGGAAAGCAAAGATAACAAGAAGGGTGGGAGAGAGGAAGCAGAGAGATCGACATAAAACGCAGTCTGACTTATTTCAATAATAATCGTTCGAAGAAACAGTTCTACTCTCAAAGTTGCTGTTGCCATAGAAACACGATCATGCCTGTTGTGGGAAAGAATAGTCACGGAACTTCTGCATACTTAATGCTAACAGAATAATATGGTGTTAAGTATAAAACTCAAGTCGAATATAGATTGAGTAATAACGCATGTCAAGATGAATTTAAGATTTTTGAAGCATAACCCCCAAAATGGGAATGCTTATTAAATTCGCCTAATTCACTGAAAAAAGGTGTTGACTAAGGGACAACACTTCCAAGAGATAACGTTATCTCTTAATACTCTCCTTAGTTTATGGAAGGCGTGAAGCTTTCACTGCTATATAAGTGACTAGCAGTAGAGCCCGGCGTTGCCCGGGGATGTAACAGTAAGAGATAGATCAAGTATTGACTATCATAAAGACTGAAACATAAAATTGACAAATATTATTGTTTAAGGTTGACGGACACGCATGTCTTAATTATTTTTTTTTTTTTTTTTACGAATTGATCAAACCCAAACTCAAATAAAAACATTGTTTTCAATCGTTATGAGTCTACCGATTGAATAGAATTTTATTATAAACAATTGTCTTGCAAATGGAATTTTTAAAGCATTCTGAATGTAAAAATAAAGAAAAAAGTGTGCAAGACAATAACAAACACTACCTGCCAAAAAAAAGAAAAAATGTGAAGTTTTGTTGAAATCGGTTGAAAAATGTAGGAAATCCGATCCCATATATAAACGAACACACACACACACACACACACACACACACACACACACACACACACACACACACACACACACACACAAACAACCTGGGTTTTATAATAAGTATAACTCGATATGAGTTGTCCCCTTTTCATTCTCGCGATGCCTCTTAATCGTGTTTTCAAATTGATTTTGTGCAAAACGATTGTGTTTTTCCAATTTTGGGCGCTGTCAGAACCACCGCAGGGTAATTTTACGTAGTCCTGTAAAGTTTTGTTGAAATCGGTTGAAAAATGTAGGAAATCCGATCCAATATATAAACGTACAGACACACATACACACACACACAACCTGGGTTTTATAATAAGTATGATTCCATATTACATAGTAGTTCAACACTTTTCTTTGTTTCTAACAATATTTTCTTATCACTTAGTACTTTGCTTCGTTTCTGAAAGGCATGAGGAAATTGTCCAGTATTCACTGCCATATTGGAGATTAGATATTGCACAGCAGTTCAGCACACTTCTTTTTTTCTAACGACATTTTGATATCTCTTAATACTTTGCTTAGGTTCTGAAAGGCATGAAGAGATTGTTCAGCATTCACTTCTATATAGTAGATTAGATATTACATAGCAGTTTAGCACTCTTTTATTTGTTTTTAACAATATTTTCCTCTATCTTAATACTTTGCTTAGTTTCTGAAAGGCAAGAGGAAATTGTCCAGCATTCACTGCCATATAGGAGATTAAATATTATATTGCAGTTCAGCAATCTTTTATTTGTTTCTAACAATATTTTCCGATCTCTTAATGCTTTGCTTACTTTCTTAAAGGTATGAAGAGATTGTCTAGCATTTACTGCCATACAGCAGGAAACATATTACATAGCAATTCAGCACTCTTTATTATCTGTGAATTGCCATGCATATAGTAGAATGGATACTTGTTGCCTTCTTCTCGGTTTGGAATTCAGAGTTTTCCTTTTATTAGACTGGTTGACACAAATGTCTATAAAATGTTAAGTTTTCCTTACTATTTAACCCATAGATGGAGAACGGGGAAAAAAGACAGATTCGTGTCTTTGCCAAGAATAGCAGTGTGAAAGTCAACGCAAAGGGCTAGCCCAGAATTTGAACTTTCCATAGAACAATATATTGATACTGTAAGTAAATATTCTAGCTAAGTTGGGGTTAGTATGACACAGGGCCCTTTCAGCTGAGTAGCAGAGGGAGATAAAAGCATTACAGTTGTAATATTTAAGGAAACAATGTTGCTATGATCGCTCTATGCAAGGAGTCCAATAAGGAATATAATTCTTTTAAACAAATCATCACATTTTTTAAATAATATTTACTAATGTTTATCCAGTAGAAGGCTCAAGAGCCACTAAAGGCAGAGTGTTACAGAAAGAGATGTGGGATGTGAAAGTAAGAGGGTCGGTTTTCAATTGTTATTAAGTAATAAATAGATTACCGAAAATGAATATATAATAATCAGAAAAATATATTCAAAGACTTACATGTTAAAACCTATTTATAATAGGGTTATTAAAACAATTTCATATAAACAGTCGTTTTTTACGTCTTGTCTAAAGTAGTATTTATATAGAAATCTGTTGGAATTAAAGTTGGAGACCTAATAATATTAAGAACAGAACAAAGTAAAAAAAAAATAAAATAAAATGTCGCCACTAAAAAAATGCTCTGGTAAGTACCTGATCCCTCGCGCTAACTTCTCACTTTACAAGAGTTAAATCAGGTCGAAAATGGAGTATTGTAGCTATATAGGTACGAGCTAGGGCACCTCGAGGCGCTGTAATGGTTAGCAAACTTGTCTCGCAAGAACTATCACGAGTAGTGAGTTCGATCCTCACTGCGTGCCTCCTACTTTCGGCCTTGTGGCATATCTAAGCTACGCTTGGAAAATCAGTATATAGGTAGGAGCTGCCCAATCTTTGCTTTCCATTCTCGTTAGAATCCAAAAGCGTCTTTGCGTCATTGTCAATGATTAATTATCCCCCATCCTACAAGTCCTTCCCACATAACGAAACGTCTCAAGTCTCCCGTTGCTCTATCGCTATTTCCACGGAAAGAGTTTCAAACGAACTACATTTCTTAGTTCCACCAGTTCTAACCTTCACGACTAAGACCCTCCATGCCGCGCATCTAGTAGCGAACCACCTTCATTCCCTTCGTATTCCATTGGTGAGATATAAGTTCCACTTGAGCAGCTTCTTCGCACGAACTGCTGTTTTGTGGAACTGACTCTCAAAAAGATGCTTCCCCGATCACTACAATCTTAACCTGTTCAAGTCTAGGGTTAACCGTTATCTTTTCCAAATACCCTCATAAATTGTGTCACTTACTCTGTAACTATTTACCTCGTGAGGCTCTCACGTTTTGTACAGGGTTAACATCCTTGTAAAAAAAAAAAAAAAAAAAAAAAAAAGATTTTATTAACCATAAAGTGGAGGATCAGTTTTATATCGTTATTATTTGATAAAGTGATTCCTTCTGGAATGAATTTATATTGATATACAGGGTGTCCTCGACTTACGTCGGAGATCCGTTGCTACGGCACGACGTAACCTGATTTTCGACGTAGGTCGGAACTCATAAGCACCCAGGAGTTAGGCTTGGGAGCCATAATGAAGAGCACACCCCCAAAAAAAATATCGACACAAACAAGAGATAGCGAAAGGAGCGGAATCCAATATGGCGTACTGCCGGTGAAGGAAAAACGCCTTCTTCCTCATATAGCGCCGCGTGACGACGTATTATATTATGGGAAATGGTGACGTAACCACGAAATGTCGTACGTAACCAGAAGAACTTCTGTATTTCTTTTTCAGGCCATGCCCTTTCGGAGTGGAAGCGATCATGGCTTTCCACAGATTTGGTTCGTTGATCTTATCCTTTTCTTAGCTAAAGCTTTTAAACAACATTCAAACAAAGACACATCTTCAGGGGGCTTCGGAATAACGAGTGATGTTGTTGTCGTCCACTCTCGTTAATCCCAGTCAAGACCAGCGCATACTACTCCCGAACCTCCCGCAACGGTGGTCGAAAATCTTGTTGGAAAGCCCAGACAATGCTTTGTTACCCTCGCTATCTTATCAACATTTGCTTTTTTTCTACCTACAGGGAGGTCCGAAAGTCTTGTCACCCACTACCTCACTTCAAAAACTGTAGGAGCCTGTGTCAACCATCTGAAATATAAGAATATTATATTATGTAGAGGTGACAAGACTTTCCAACCACATTGTACATTTGTATACGTTACGTATTAATGTAAGCACAACTGACTATTAAAGCATGAAATATTTTCGCGAATTTTGACGTTACTCGGAGGTCTTTTGTTTTTTGTTCAAATCCGTGAATTTGTTTTGCTCATGTTAAGTGTTGAAAAAAAAAAAAAAACAAACACGATGTACAATTCACTATTTTTTATCCATAATGTTGAATGTGTTTAAGTTAGTCAACTTTTTAAGAAGCAAAATCTCAAGTTGATGTTAAACATTGCCGCGAAACATTGCTGATTTATTTAAGATAGAATGATCTATTATGACATGTCTCTTATGATGGAATGATCTATTATGACATGCCTCTAATTTGTATTTAGATACATTGTATTAATTTTCAATTTTTCTAGTTGAATTGTTCACCTATATTGCATATGGTCCATTATTGTACATAATTAGGTTACAATAAAATTTGTATTTTATATGACTACTACCCTATAGAAATACTGAACCTATTAGTGTGACATACATAAGCAACAATTTATAAGAAACAAATAATAAGGAAGATGCACGTGTGATCGGTATATAAAATGCTGATTTTTAAAGCGTAGCTTAGATGTGGCACAAGGCCGAAAATATGGACACCCTGTGAGTATCGAACTCACTACTCTGTCACAAATGATCTAGCCAGACAAGTTTGTTAAGCATTGTAGTACCCAAAACTGATTTACTTAGCGTAGATTAGATATGGCACATAGTCGAAAGTATGGAACACTCATTGAGGTTCGAACTCACTACTCAGTCGTAATTGAGCTAACAATTCAAGCTTGCTAAACATTATATCGAAATTCCCATGTTGACATAAATTGTCCATACCTGAAATGTACAATTATGTGAGTCTTTATTAGGACGATGAAATATGTCCTGGTTGTAAGAACTTAATTTTGGGAGACGTTAACACATATATCTATCTACAACGAAGAACCGACGAGAAAAGAGCCGAGCCTCATGACCAA